AGGCTATTGGGTCATTTCAGCGAAAATAACACCGTGGTCCAAAAACATAAATTACACAATTTGGTTTTAATTGTATGACTAGAATAAGCCCAATAAATCACTAGAAATCATTAGGAATTAATTAATTTTTTCGGATATTGTAAATTATTATATTTTTGTCTTCATTAACGCAGCCATAGTGCTGTCGTCCATAGTGAAGCATTTTTTCCTATAATTCTAAAAAAAATATTACTGTCGAGGAAACTACAATTTACGAATTTTAAAACAGTGATAAGTGATTGCATGGAAGTATATTAATATATATTATATGGTGAGGAATTATTAAACTTTCAATAAATAGTAATTTCAAGTCCCACCCATTACAATGAAACACATATATTTTTATTTTAACCAACTTCAACTTTTATATCTACGGCTCCGGCGTTTTGCGCGACGATTTCGCCAACGTCAGGGTTGAAAGACATGTAGTGCGGTGGTTAGATAGATTGCCGGATATTAAAATACTTATGTGGTTATTATGCACAATAAATATGCAATCTATTGGCATTTGCTTTTGTAAAAGTAACAATTATGCTAAGGGTCATTATTTTGGCTTGGTTGGTCATTGTGAATAATTATAATATGTGTTAATTTTTAAGATTTGAAAATGTATCCCACCTATCACTGCGATGGGTGGGGCACACTTAATTAATAAATGTTTATATTTTCATGGATTCGAGTTTTTACGATGTTTACTAGGTGTACCAGGTGCTTTGATTCCGGAGTTTAGAATTTGATGTGTTAAATTGTGACGATTGGCACACCATTTTGTGACAGGTGTGACAAGTTACCTTTGAATACATAGAATTTAAAAAAATACACTGTTTATATGTAGATCCATCATTTGTAAGGAAATTTTTTATAATTATCATAATTAAGACATTTTAACACATAAAAAAAGACAAATAAAAAGTGACAATATTTTTTCTGATGATTTTTAGTATCAGGAAATTCCTAAAAAAGTCTGTCTCCACTAGTTTTAACTATAAATCCGAGCAAAACTTCTAAAATTTTATATATTTTGAAAAGATACATAATCTTCAAGGATGCAGCAGGATATTCAAATTTATTAACGCATTTTACATGCTTGACTTTCAAGAAAAATAATAGGATTACTTTATCAGTTCTTTAATACTGTTTTTTTTATGTTAAAATGTCTTAGTAAGACAAAAATTATAAAATATTTGCTTACTAACAATGGATATCATGTGAAACAGTGTAATTTTATTAGTACTGTGTATTGAATTGAATCTCGTCCCGCTCATCACAAAATCATGTCTCACCCGTCACAACTTAACATATTAATTTCCTTAAAATTTATGAAGGTTATTAATGAAGTGTATGTATAAAGTGGAAACAGAACTTTAACATTCAAGTTATCTCACATGAAAAACTTGCTTAAAATTAATAGTTTGTCTTGATCCTGGCAATGAAGCCATCAACTTAAACAGGCAGGTGTCGTTAAGTGGCCCTCACGTCGCACAAAAATAGAAAATTAAAAGTTTTCAGTATAAATAATGTCATAAATTTGTGTAAATAAATAGTCGCAGTTGAATTGCATATATGCCTTCATGATATTTTCATTTTAAGTCTAATTAACCAATGGTTAGGGAGAAATTACTTAAAGTTTAAAAAAAAGGAGTCAAAATGTCTCACCCGTCACTTTGGAATGGTCCTATTATTAATTATTATTACAGGAATTATAGAAATCCCACCCAATGTCTTATACTGGTTCCATCAGGAATCAAGTGTCTGACCGTATCACTAGACTAGCTGATAAAATATTTTTGTATTCCACAAGTCGACACACAGCTTATATGGATATAGCCATGTTTCCTAAGGGAATAACTGCTGTCCCCCTTTCTGTACCTGGAAGACTAGATCATGGCTCAACCAGGAAGAGTTTGGGGTTATATTTGCCAGGTTTTATTGAGTTCAGACCTGTGCAGGTAAGAAGCCAGTTAATTAACATAGTTCAACATTAACTACCGTTAGTTGTGTATTTCTACACTACAGTACAAGGAATCTACGCTATAAATGACATTAGGAAGAGTATTTCATTTTGAAATAATTTAAAAAAATTATTAATCTTTTTCAATCCTAACCTCAAAACTTCATACACTAATTCAAAGTAGTAATATCTAAAACACCACTGCACAATTAGTCAAAATAGCATCTTATAGCGTTGTTACAACGTTGCAATTACAACTTGTTGTAATAATTCGAAATAAATACTGTTTTTCAAGGACACAATCGCACAGCGTAATCGTGCCGGAACTAACCACACCAATTCACTTCTTAGGACCATCACAAGCACGAAATGCATTTAATAGTCAAGAAAATGATCTCTTTTGCCTTGAAACTGTCTTAACAACTCGCGAAACACCTGAAAGTCGTTCTATTTTCTGCAAAACCAAGAGAAACACGTGGGCAAACGCCATGCAATTTTTTAACGTAATTTCACTTGTACTTAAATTCATACACTCCGAATATGAGTTGACGTGTTTTGTGTTACGTTTATTTACTGTAAACTTACCATTTCGCTAATTTAGCGAAGATATTCCTCCAAAAAACACTACAAGCGGTGGTAAAGACCATCCGCCATGCCACGGAGGAGTAAAAAGACCGGAAATTGAAATGGAAATTTTTGACATTTCTTATGGGCAGTTACCAATGTAAAAAATAGCCAGCAAATTATATGTTTTTTTGCATAATTTGACAGAATCCATAACAAATAATATTCTAATAAAAAAATATGAAAATTAAAAGAAAGTAATTTTTTAAACTAACTATATATTATTATTATTATTAGTAATATTTTTTCCATTCTTGTCAATAGAAGCATTTTCCTTTATAGATTATTCCAGTACAAACGATAATCAATCTTTTTCAGGAGTGATAGTGTCAGAATACAATAACATGTAGCCAGTATTCTCTCAAACAACAGTTAAAGGAGTATCCACACATATTCGGGCCACGCCCAGGACGTGGACGGGGCGTGCTAGTTTGTATGAACTGCGGGCCCGTCCTGGCCCCGACCCGGACACGGACATGTGTGAACGAGTTCATACAAAATATACACAACGATATTTTTTTGAGCCCCTGACGGAGCACGGCACGTCCACGTCCTGGCCACGGCCCGGGCACGCCCTGGATATGTGTGGGTAGACCTTAAGTTATTTATATGATTGATTGATTGAAATCAGTGAAGGATACAAAAGATTGAAACATGATGTGTCACAACAAACAATGATTTCGTGAATTTGTTCCCGAGGATTTTTTTTGGATTTTATAGGATTTAAAAGAAGAAGAATTTGTTTTTAGCATTCATTTTGGGTACTCGCATTTTGCATTTAGAGTTCCCAGACTTCTTTTCGCTCTTTAAATACGTGCTTTTACCGAATCTGTGCCCATACTTTAGTAGTAGTAGACCCACGATGGAGCAAATGGATACCGTTGAGATTGAACCAGAACTAAACGTCGACATGTCAAACACGGATGCAATCGCCACTGAAGTTACCACTAATGTGTCAAAAGACGTCGATACGGATGCAGAAAAACTAGACAATAAAAGAGATAACGACGACAATAATGAAGTCACTATGTGTTCTTTTGATCTTAACAAAGCGACATGTAGCTCGAGAAAACGAATACCTTTTTCTCGATCTAAATCATGCGTTAGTGAATATCAAAATAAACCGCATCAGATCCGTGGAATATCTAAGGCTTCATATACATCACACTCCACGGATTCCGATTATCATACATCTGCCCCCCATTTTTTAATTTCCTCTACATCATGTACATCTGCTGGTCCTCTTAATCCTCACCCTAAAGTGTGTATAACATCTTCTGATCGACCTCTAAAGGTATCATACGCAACTTCTCAGCCCCTTCGTATTCCGTCTCCGACTCGAGGTGATAGCTTTACTACAGTCAGCGCTCAGCCAATTGGTAGTTTTTCTAATTTACCATCACCTACTTCTCTTGTCATAAATGTTACAAATCAGCCTCCATCCCTTTTTATCCTGGCCTTGAGCAAGTTAAACGAAAATCCTGTCAGTTTAGCACTTCTTAATAAGGCTTTGCGGTCAGGGGCAATGGAAACTTCGGATTCAAATCTGAGTACTGGAAAAATGGACACTACTGCAGAATTAAGTGCACCGGCATCATTGACAAGTGCGCCGCCATCGTATTCATTTGTATTACGGCAAATGGCAGCTCGAAGACCGAGGCTTATGGGGACTTTTATTCCTTCTCCCTCATTTGTACAGCATACACCACCACCTAACTACGCTGCTGCTTTTGATATTTACGTGGAACCAGCCATGCCGCCTCAAAACCCTACAAGGGTCTATAGCTTTGGTTTTACTTCGATGCCAGCGGTCTGTCCAGAATGCGGATATACAGGGTTGACAACGGTTACAGCGAAAATAACTATCTGTACCCACTTGTGTGCAATGTTTTTATGTTTATTTTGCTGTTGGGCGTGCGCACCTTTGCCTTATGTTCTTCGATCTTGTAAAGATGTGTATCATTATTGCACAAATTGTAGGAACCTCTTAGGAATATACTGTCCAACGAATCCTGAAAGTACGCATCTGTAAGCAGAAATTACATTGAACTTGATTTACCTACTTTAAATTTAAAAGTTCCATGTTTCAGGACGTCTGCCGGAGACTATAAGGCGTTATTAAAAAAAGATGGATTTCATTGACGACGATCAAGATGAAACCTGACGGAAATTCACATATCTATTGTTACGCCAATTAAGCCTTTTAAATCGAGGCCAAGAATAAGGATGAACTTTTATATTTACTCATCGGACTAACGAGAAACAGCGTTATGCTGCAAATTGAGCATTCATGTGTTTATCTGCATGGGTTGCTGTGTAGATGTCACTGCTTGACGAGCCCTGTAGGCACAGCTTGACCGGGCATGGGAGAACAACACAAAGACCCAAAATTGCAACGCAGAAATACAAAAGTAGCGTTGGTTATGAAGTACTCCTTGTACATCTAGTTTGCTCTATATTTTGGATTTTATATGTATTATTTTTATTGTACTTATTTTTAATTATTTTTTAATAAGTTGTTCATTAATATGTATCCGATGATTTTTTTATTCTTATTTTACGCGTTTCTAATTAGATTCATTTTGTGTATTTTTTATTAATTTGTTGTTGTACTTATTTATAATTTCATTTTTTTATTTGTATGTTTGTTGACTTTTATTGTTGTGTACTTATTTTTAAATTTGTTTTACTTTGTATTAAACTTTTTTGCAGATTTTGTATTGGTATCATTTCCGTTTTAGACCATAGACAACTTTGTATAATGGATAAAAGTTTTTTAATATTTTGTGTTGTTTATACTAATTTGTGAGCATTAATAACTCCATTTTTTTTACTACATTGAAATGCTGTTGTTCAATTTTGTTTCAACTATTTCCTTAAAGGATGAAGACTATTTCACAATATTATAATGTCACCGTGCATTACATCAAGAAAAACGTTTTTTTAGCTGCGTTCAATTTACACGATTGAAATTATTTTTTAATGAAAAACATACTACTTTGAGAAGATTACTATTTTATTAGACAGTATAATCTTATCTGTTAATTGTTAGCCATTATAACAGACAAATATTATAGTACATGATTTTTAAATTGTATTCAAAGTAGTGATTAAACTGAACGAACCCAATGTCACTGAAGTTTCAGCGCCCTCTAGCGACAAAATGTCTGAGTGTAAAATTAGAAGTCACAGCCTTCCGCAAGTTCCGTGTGTTCTGCGGAAAAATCCCTTTTTGGGCGTCCGACCACATGTGTGAATAGTGAACAAAAATGGTTCTGTGGTGATTCCCAGCTCAAAAGAGCCGTTTTCGAAGTGAATTGTACCATTTATCGATAGATACAGTGTCGAGGGATCGTTAATAGTGCTTGAAAAGTTGGAACTAGTGGACGGAAGTGGATTTTTTCGATGTAAATACGGTATAACCAGGGTCAGTGCGGTGTGATCGGAAAAGTCCCTACATATTTTCTCGAGTATTGATAAGCGGTGGGTTGATATTGGTGTGTGGTACTGGGGCAGGGTTTGACCTTGGTGCGTCGGGTCGCGTGTGCTGAGAGTTGGTTGCGATTTTTGGGTCGAAGGCCCCAGCATGCTTTGTTGAGGGGTATGGCAGCGCGCTCGTGATCGTCGGTCGGCGCGGAGCGCGCGCCCGGGCTTACATAACAGGTGCGGCGGCATGGCCGCTCGGGTCTCCGCGGAGGGGGCTGGTCCCTCATACGCGTCGGTGCTGAACTTTCGGGGAGGGGACAGTAATAAGGAGAACATAGAGGCGCCGGCAGGAGAGGTGCCTGACACCGCTCCACGACAGGATGACGAAGAAGAAGAGGGTTTTGTGCCGGTGATATCGCATGGAAGGCGGCCAGGGAAAGGCCGGAGGGATCGAGAGCGGAGGGCGCCTCCGAGACCTCATAAGGCACCTCAACCGCACGCGGAGCAACAGTCCACATCCGATCAGCAGCAGCAGGCATCTGAATCACAGCCCAAGAAGTTCGTAGAAGCCCCAATACCAAAGGTCAACCCTTGGCAGGTAAGCCCACATTTTTTTTATAACCTAAAAATTACGTTTCTGTCTGTTAAGTATTCTAGGGCGTTAGTGTCCGACTTTTATGACCTCTACCAGCTAAAAACGACTTATAACACAAATTATGATGTGTTTTCTAATCAATCTGTGACCTAGTCTACTCTTATGTGATAAAAAGATCCTATTAAAAGAAATTTGAGTCATGTAAACAAACATCTGTCAAAGTGTTCATGTAGGTAACAATTATATATTAAATAACATAGGATATAGTGATTATAACATAGTAACAGCTAGGTAATTATTGGAGTTATAAGCATATTACTTAATTATGTGACAAACTATGATTGGTGTTGTTTGAATATTAGATACTTGTTTTTTTTTTCATATTTATATAGGTTCTATAGGATGCTACTTCTCTAAGATATTATACATTAAAATTGCATGCAACTATAAGACTCGTCATCTTACATCACGTAAATAACTCGAAGGGATTACGAATACTCAAGGTACTCACCTTTATTGAGTATCCGCCAAGGATTATTATATCCGCCGTGCTGAAATGTGCAACTTATTTGCCATAATGGCGTATTTGATTTGGCAAATAGCTTCAGATGTACAAGGGACATTAATAAATACGTCATTATGAGGATACTCATTATATACAAACCTGAGTATTATTTTTCTTAAATAGCGTAATTTTTGAAATAAATTAAATTTGACATCGCACCACAGTCAAAGAAACCTAGGAGCTTTGAATGTGACTGCATTAGATATACATATGTTCGAAATCTTTAATTCTGTAGGATCTTGGTCTCTACATTGTAATTAGTGGTAATCGCAATAGAAAAATTTTGAAAAGTCACACTTATAATAATAACAGATAGGAATACCCTCCAAATACGGGTCAGATTCTTACTAGACACTGTGATTAAGCACATGTCCAATGTAGTGCTAACAGTCTGTTGGATCAGTCTGTCATTATCTTTAAAATCAGACATATTTTATCTTTTTTGAAATGAAAAGTGCCCAATGTTTTCTAGCATTAATGTATGCCTTGAATTTCACCAACTGATTTATTATAGTTCTTCTGTCCTTCATTCTGGATCTTAACGAGTACTTTATTTATTTATTACATATTGCTTACAGTCAACCCAAACACAATAGTAAGACTTAACGCTAAATGTACAATCAATCTTAAGACAATTACAAAAGTGAATAAAATATGAAAATTGATTAAATTATAAATACAGTACCATAAACAATAAATAAATACTTGTCATATACATATGATATTGATAAATGTATTTTTTACATACATAAGTGTCACACTGCGCAAGGCAGAGACTCTTCTTATGTTTCATCAACACATCGATCTATGCTTTCATACATTCTCGATGATGATGCTCTTGACCTGGCCTTTCTTTAGAATTTATTTATAATAAGAGTCAGTTTTACATAGTGTGCTATTGCAGCTATGAGTTGAGACAAATTGTGCATGAACTCATCAGCAATCTGGTTATGCGCTAGGAACTCATTCAGCATGATAATTGGCCTGGTGGAGGGTGTATTGTAACCCTACAGAGAGTGTGCTCTGGGGACAGCAAAAAGGTTGCGAGTGCGCTGTCCTCTACGGCCCACCAATCTTATAATTCGATCATGCACAACTAAACCCAGTCTTTCAAAAATGGAAGGGTTATCTATTTTATGGTGTATGAGTAGGCAGTAGTGGGTAAGAAGCTTAATCTTACGACCCAGTTCAAGAGACTCAAGTCCGACCATCATAGAAATAAACAGTGCGGTGTAAAGAAATGGATAATAACTGTGGATGGATGTCTTATTTGGTCAATGTAATTTTTTACTACTCTTTAAATAAAAGTTATTGTCATACCCTTACATTTGAATGTAAATGGCCTGAACAAGTGATTTGTTAGTGGCAGATAAACCTGAGTTACATTTTTACAGTGGAGGAGCACAAGAACAAAAACTGTTAAGTTACTTTTTGTATTTTTCTTCTTTTTCTATGAATCGTTCCTTACTGTTCAGCAACCACTAAATCCTCCTTGTTTTAAATCTTATTTTAATGCACAGATCTGAAGAAAATGCGATAAATCCATAAATGAGACTAGATGAAATCAGAATTAAAATTTTTAGGGTTTATATTTATATTTATTTATTCATATTTTGTTCTGAAGCTCCTTAGTTGTAGATGAATGAATCATGTGAACACCAAGACTTTGGGTTGGTGAAAAATAGTATAGAAATCCTAAAAATACAAAGTATTTTCTTCTTGACTCTCTTCTATTTAGACAGAATTCACTGAGAGGAGAATCTACATATCTACAATGACAGAAAACCTACACAGACTATTTGAAACCAATTGTTTTTTTTAAATAAATTTACATAGCTCGTGCACAAAGGGAGGAATGGACAAACGTTATATCTGAAGTGATATGAACATCAACTACTTAAAATAACTTTTTGTTGGAAATTTGGAGGGAATTTCTTGCACTTGTGTAATTGACATCCTTATCAATTTGTATTTGAACTGAAAAAAACATACCAAGTGACCTTATATTTTATTTTTAAATTTTTTATCGTGGGATTTATTTATGATTAGATTAATGTAGTAAATAACATGCTTTAATAAAAAGTACAAGCGACAGCGGCTGCCACCACCTAGTGCTACCACTTTGAACCAGACATAACTGGGTATTTTTGGTAACCTATCCTATTCTATACCAACCCATCCTGATTGAATCTTGGTATGCAATGATTTTCTCTCCATGGCAGTTGCAATGCCACTCAGAGTCTTAAACTGTAAAGATCAGAGGGGTACAGTGCTCTTCACCCAGAGACATAACTTGACAAATCCCATGTGCCTCTAATTTCGCAATCACACTTACTTTTCAAAACCAGGATGCAGTGATACACACTTTACCGTTTGCTGGTAGAAGTAGGTAATGTGGTTGTAATTCCCTGGATGACCTCTTTCATAACGAGTTCTACTGCTACTAAAATATGATAAAGAGTTCACAATGGTGCACTTTCTGAATATTGAACTAGGCTTACTTTGTCTGATCTTTTTTTTTTAAAATAAAATGACAAATTCAAGAAATCATCTCTATTTGGTGTGTAGTGTGTAGTGCTGCCGAAGTTTATTTCCTTAATTTGGCACCATTATTATGTTACTTTCTTGCAGCACAGTCTATAAGTGTGTCTTATAACCGTTTGAGATAAGAATTGCAATCTTCTTTAGCATTTTGCACCAATTAGAGATTACAAGTGGGCTTATGTGTAAATACTATTAAACATAATGTACTGTCGATAATCTAAGATATCTGACCTCCTAGCCCAGTTTTTGGTTGTGAGAGGCTTTTTATGCATTCAGCAGAAGACTGTAAAAGGAATTTCAGCTTGTTGGTTGAAATTTGTATTTATGTAATGTAATTAAATTGACTTAATAAATTTCTTAAAACAAACAACACCCAAACTATCGAGAGAAATAAATATAGACCACACAAATATTTCTCTCGGCCCGGGAATGGAACCCGGGACCTCCGCGTGGCAGTCCAGTGTGGTACCCGTCCGGCCACGGAGGCAGTTACGGAGAGAGGCAACTACATTTTTCTCGCTCATGTTACATTGACATAAAGGTTTTTTTTGACTGGCTTAATGCAATTTCTTGTTGATAAGAATATTTTTTTTTATTTTAAGTGTCTGGTGGTAAGCGATTTGCCTCACTCGGAGCCTTCAATCGCAAAGATCTGTGAGGGGCACTGCCACTGCACCCGTCACCGTAAGACATAAGTTAACAAGTCCCATGTGCCTGTAATTTCACCAGCACTCTTACCGTACAAAACCGGATCGCAATAATGCTTACATTACTGCTTGGCGACAGAAATAGGTAAGGTGGCAGTACTTCCCTGGACGAACTCTTTCACAAGGAGCGCTATTGGGTTTGAAGAATAATATTATGTTACTAGATGTCAGCCGGGTAGCTTAATGTTTTGACCTACCGCCTCTCAACCAGAGGGCGTGGGTTCGAAATACACCCAACAAAAGCGGCCAGGCATCAAGCACGTTTTTGCTAATTACTAAAATTTATTCATGATTCTTTTAACACCAATGGGTTTAAATTGCTACTGCTGTTAAAATATGCTGATTCTCTGACTCAAACAGTAAATAAACATTCCTTTACATAATCGCTGCATAAAATCAACATTATATTTGCTTCCTTGACAAAGTATATGTAGGTATAGCTAATGAAACTATTTTTCCGGATTTAAATCGCGTATATTTGTTTTTTCAAACAAAGCGACGTTTCGGTCCCTTTACAGGTCCCATGGTCACGGTTGACTGAGGTGGCGGTCTTCAACCAGTTATGTCTAATATTGATGCAAACCATCCTATTTTTTCACTATAGTTACAATAGTTATTAATTAAATACCTTATTTTTAATTTTACAAAGAAAACATTCCAATTTACGATAAATTAAGTTTTACAAATTATTTTATTGAATGAATTTTTATTAAGTTCAATTTATTATTATATAACAATAGAAATTAGAATAAATTATATATTTCTTTTAAATTTCTTATCAAGGGTGTTAATTTGGATGCATTACTTTAAGAATAGGTAATCAGCCTGCAAAATTTGTATATTTTACACTCTCACTACTCTCTCCTGTACTATTTTCCAAATTTATATGCCAATTAATGACTTCTTCCAATAAGATGACGATATACAATCCATTTCTTTGGATTTCAGCAACTTTGTAGTAAGGCAACGATAATGTTTAATTTGTTTTTTCAAACAAACCACAATACAAAGAGTAAATGTATTTTTTTACTCTTACATCAAATGCTCAATGTATAACATTGTGCAATATGATAAAGGTAAAGGCTTTAAAATCAATACACCACCTGTTGATAGGTTGTTTTAAGGCACACATGGGCCCTGTCAACTTATGTCTCAGGGTGACGGGCGCAGTGGCAGTGCATCTTTGC